ATATATATATATATATATATATATATATATATATATATATATATATATATATATATATGTGTGTGTGTGTGTGTGTATATACAGTAGATATAATAAAATTGGTGTGAGGTTAAGGAGGGGGCCCTGTGGGCTTCAGTGCCCAGGGGCCCCTGGGGTTGTTAATCTGGCCCTGCTCTTTGCTCCACAACAAAGCACAACAAACAGCTCGCATAAGACATCTTTCCATGTTTGTAGAATTGACCAGTCGTGTCCTGATCAGCCATAACAGCCTGATCATTCGGCTGTTTCAGGAAATCCTTTTACCCAAAGTGTTTCCTAAGTTTAAAAATTCAAGCCATGGAAACTGAGCTTGGCTGATAAGCCTTCAATCTCTTCCATTCAGCGGCCCTTCCTCTAGCGCCACAAGAACGGCTCCGTTCTTCTAATGCTATGTTTTCAGTATTGCGACGGGGCTTGAACAGTGCTGTGTTTGTTTGTGTTCGGGTCGGTCCGAAGGGGTCGGCTTCTCAAGAGCCAAAGCAAAGGCCGAAACATGGGAGCTACAGGCACAAGTTCCCTGAGTTCAGACAAGATGGAGAGCAGTGGCAAGGAAAGAAAGCTGATTTTAGCTAGAACAAGGTGTAAAAACAGAAACATGTGCAGAGGTTCACGTTCAATAAAGGCAGAGGAAGATTTAAAGACAGGAAGTTCTTGACACAGTTGTTTAGTAGGGACTAAAATCTAGTTTCTACTGACAAAAAATGGTCCAAACTCACTGTTTCTCTTCTCCCTCTGATGGGTTAGAGTCCTGCTCCTTGGGCATGTGTTCCATTCACCTCAATTCCATCCAGCAGCCAATCACGAGAGACTGAGGCAAGCCCCGCCCTCCGAAGCACGCTTGTCATTCGCGGGTCGAGAGGGGTCAGTCCGTGAAGCAATACGAAGTCCCGTCACTGGGGCTTCCGGGAGGACGACGGTGGGGTTGGGTGGATGGGGTGGGGGGGGGGTGACCCCCTGTGAGGTCGTTACGATGTACCTCGGCGTGACGCTAAGATCCAGTAGGCGTTGGCGTCTCCACGAGGGTAAACCCGTTGGCCCAGCAGCCGGGGCTGGAGGTGGGCGTGGCTTCCAGAGAGACAGTCACAAGAACGGGATCCAGTCTGGAAGAGTTCAAAGGAACACACAATCAGGTTACACTGGATTTAAATCTACTTTTGTAACAATCGCCCCAATTACTTGTGACAACTTTTAACAGCAAAAGAATAAAATTTAAAAAATACCACTAAACATCATGTGATGTCATTATCAGAGAGTAAACGTCTGCGTCGAGTTTCATTCTCAGCCAATCGATTAGTCGTTCGGTTAGTAATTACCACGCGCAGGCAAAGGTGGAGTTTATGTGTGTGTGTGTGTGTGTGTGTGTGAGAGAGACATTAACTGATGGAGTTAACCCTTTTTATTCCATGAACTACTGGGCAGATTTTAATTAAATGTTTATTTATATTTGGGAGTACATATCCAACTTGGGGTTAATCCAATTCAAGATGGCCGCCACAGCCAACTGACAAAAAACAAACAAAAAAACACATACAAGCCAATAACAGCTGGTTTTACAGAGAGTGAGATTAAATTTGGTGTGGTAGTAGCTGATCACCAAAACCAACACTTACTTTTGAGCGGAACACATTGCGCAACATCTCTCCCTAAAACTTTGGTAAAAACCCTGTTTGTTTATTAAAACATCCCATGAACCACTGGACGGACTTTAATGAAACTTTTTAGAAAGTAATCATTGGAAGCACATGATGGACACTACAGCTAATCATCATTAGCCAACTTTAAAACAAGACTGCAAACTATTATAAAGCAATCTACAGAAATGGCCCGGACAACCTTTTTATAACCTTTGACCTAGATTTTTGACCTTGGTTTTAAAGCTGGGATGATGCAAAGTACAACATTGGGTCTATTTATGTGTATGAAGTCTCGTTAAATTATCTTGAGTGGATTAGAAGATATGGGCGAGACGAGAAAGTTTACCGACAATATTTCACGAGACTGAGGAAAATGTTATTTTCGAGTATTAACCACAATCGAACTAGACGATCTAGAACTCTGGTATGAAGCGCGGAGGGCGACGTGCGATTTATTACGTAACTGGTGATAAATATCTAATTTGTTCTGTTTAAAATATTGTCAAAAAACAAATTTTCCGTTTTTTCCTCCAGTGCGTCAAATTTTACGACTGTCAGAATCCCTTTGCCGTTGATCCGACACTTTCAAGGTGTTCTTTGTGCCGATTGTTTTGTGTTCGGGGCTCAAACGAGCTCCTGATGATCGAACAAATTCCTTTATGACTGCACCATGTTCAGTACGGTGGGTTTAAGGTTTCACCATCATCCATCCGTTATCTTTACCCACTTCTTGCGTTCTGGGCGGCGGCGTCTCTGGTGCCCATGTCCAGCTATCACTGCGGGAGGCGCGGGACATCTCATCAGGTTCCACCCACACATTATCACATTATGCAAACGAATGCAAAAATAAAGCGGCATTTTAAATGATTAGAAAACAATTTTTGAGCGACTGCTCGGATCAGAATCCCTCCGACTTGGTCTTAAATGAGAATTACTGGAAGAGTTTCACGAATTTAAGCTCCTGGGGAGGTGAGAATACGTATACCACATGTTGTGTTACGCTCCACCGAGCCTCCTGTGAGGGAGGCTCACATTTCATCCAGACCTCATCACTTCGGTCACCTGAGGCAGGCTGCAGAGAGATTCCTGAGTGGAGCAGCAAATCAATGGCCTGCAGGTCAAAAAGTCACCTTCAGCTGCTGCTACAATGGGCTAGATCCGGTAAAACTAAAGCTGACGGCTTAAGGAACGTCACCTCTTGCAACGTGCCCAAGTAGTTTAGGTGAGCAGTGTAATCCCTGAAAGGGTCCAAGTACTCAGAGGGTCTCCTGGGAAGGCTTTAATCCCTGGTTCAGTGTGTTGCTAATCTGGAACACTGACACGGCCATGCGTCTCAGAAACAACTGATATTGTTGCTCCAGTTCTTTTAAGCAACCTGATGAGATGTCCCGCGCCTCTCGCAGTGATAGCTGGACATGGATGATGGTGAAACCTTAAACTCACCGTACTGAACATGGTGCAGATATGTGTGCAGGAATGCAACTTTCCATCAGATACTAGTGAAAGAAATAATAGACGTGTCTCAACAATCGGGATGATTAGCAATCAAGATGCACAATTACAAAAAGGTTTTCAGGTTATTGTAGATGGATTATTAACTGTTCCACACCAAAGCGCTGAATAGCTGCAACTCAAAAGATCTGTATTCAATCAAAGCAGCAGACCACGGAGCGACAGTGATGTCTTTTCAAACCAGCTCTACGTGAGACCAAAGGTCCTGTAAGAGAAAATCAGAGAATTATCCGTTTCTGCAGCGTCTTTTGTTTATTCGGGCTTTCCATTTTTACAGGTTTGTCTGCGGCTCCTCATTTTATGTCATAAAAATTGTAGCATAGTTGGCATGCTTGATAAAAAAATAAAAAATAAATCTTGCCAATACTTCTAAGTAACATAAGACATACTTTCTGTAAACTGGCTTGTGACGTGTTAGCTAAAATAAGTAAAAAATACATAAATAAAACGTATATGCTTGCTCAATGGCGTCTTTAAGGTCTAGCTCTTGAAACAAAAAAAACTGCTTTAGTCCAAGACGTTTAGTTTCGACTTCTTTAAGTTTCATTGATAAAATGCAGGCTTGCATCAACTCATAAAATATTTCTTTTCAATCCAGCATATTGGGGACCAGATGAGGATTGTCCAAGGGCCAAATTGGGCCATATGTTGCCTACATCTGCTTTAAACCTACATCTAATGAGTACTTTCTGAGAGTGTCATTAAAATCCACCCAGTGGTTCAAAATATATTTTGGTAACAGACTAGGCCTGTCACGATAACACAATTTGCTGGGCGATTAATTGTCTCAGAAATGATTGCGATAAACGATAATATTGTTTGAACTTTGACAATAATTACCAATTATTGTCAAATTTAAGAAGAAATGTTGGTTAATTTGTTTTGTGTGTAGTACCATTTTTGACCACCGGATGGCAGTATAAGAATGTTTGGACCGAAGGATGGATAGTGAGGGAGTGAGCAGCGTGTCTCTTTAAGAAAAATGGGAGGGAGGCCCCTTGATGTGACATGGGCTGTCTCCTTCCTTGTTCAGTTCTCAAAACAGCGGCTGCTCTGTGTGGTTGTGTTTTTCCACTCAAAACTTTTAATAAAAAAATAGTCAGTAAACAAGTTAAGGGCGCAGAGGTTAGAGAAGGCGACCCTGAAAAAATAGGGAGCAGCCGAAAAAAAAAAAAAACAGAACAAAGTCAGTAAACAAGTTCTCAGCTTCTTTTTGCAAAGAATAACAACCTTTTAGACAAAGGCACGGGTTTCAACCTCTGAATTTTGGAGCTTCGGCAAGACGGAGGATTTTTTTCCTCGACGTCTGACTGTTAGCTTAGCTCGTAGCTTAGCTTATCAGCTTAGCTGCTATTAACGATCCAAAATCGTGTTTTTGGATCGTTAAAATGGATTTAAAAGAGAAAGGGAAGGGTCAGTGAAGAGCACTGGAGTTGAACCAGTGTCTTCAGTAGAAAGAGACACGAAGAAACGATAAAGTTGATAAATGAGAATGAGGTCAATAATTTTCATTTATCATGCAATTGATTTATTTTGTATCATGACAGGCCTAATACAGACACAAGCAAAAACATTATTGCTGCTATGTCTGTTGGTGGCGGACGACAAGAACCAAAAAGCAAAATTAGCCACTGTTCATTAGTTATCTTAAATCTGTTTCTTCCTCATATTCCTAAATAAGAATAACAGCAGAAACAATGCAATCCATTCAACTCTAACCCTCACTAACAACCACAAAAATATTCACCTCAGCAGATTTAATCAAATAAATTTAACCACAACAAACAAAATTCCTTCTCAACAGTGCTCCCGGCGGACCTCATGAGAACTCGGTTTATATTTAGTAAAACCCCGAGGCAGAACGGTCCAGTGCTCCGGCTCGAGCAGAACCCAGAGTGGTGTGAGAGTGACGGGGACGCTAACGACATAAACCCTGGGAGGGCAAGGCGCTAATGGAGTGCGCTTTATCAATGCCCTCCTCTCTATCACATCAACCGTTGCCACAAGTGGCACTAGCTTCAGCTGGTGTTTGTGTCCCATACAATCACTTGTTTATCACATCGGGGCAGGGGAGGGAAAAATGAGGCTATTGTTGGATTAGCAAATGCAATTACAGCTAAATACCAGCAAATTAGCAAAGAAAAGCCGACCCAATTCAGAGAAACATCTAGCTATAAGAGTGAGAAATTGACGTGACAACCATCTTTTATAAAGCCTCTTCTCTCAGGTTATCCTTAAATTTAAGTGTCCTCTTGGTCCTTAGTTCGAAGTCACAAAGAGCAGTGGTTTGAATATCCACCTATCAGATGGTAAAGACTCTTTTATGTAATTTATATTTAAAGGTTTTACTACTTAATCATTTTTTAAACATTACTTACTGTACAAGCTCCTCTGCCAAGAAAAAAGTTGTCACTACTCAGCCCATCAGTCTATTTCTGCCATTGTAGTTTATTTTGAAAGGATTATGAAGTGGAAACTATGGTGAAGAGTGAGCTCATTCTTCTCCATGTTGATCCACTGGACCGGAGACAATTATGGAATACAAAGAGCATTGCATACGGCACATTATACACCCATCAGCAACTATTATACAGCAATCTGTAGCAACAGCCTGGCCAAGCAAATACCAAGGAAAAACTTTGACCTTGACTTGTGACCTTGATCTTAAAGATAGGGTTATGAAACGATTATGAGACACTAGGCCTGTAGCGGTAAACAATAAATCAATTAATCACATGATAAATGAAAATTATAGACCTCATTTTCATTTATTGGCTTCATCATTTCTTCGTGTCTCTCTCTTTCTACTGAAGACACTGGATGACAAAAGGCTCAACTCCGGTGCTCTTCACTGACCCCTCCCTTTCTCTTTTCTCTTTAAAATCTGTTTTAACCGTTCAAAATGGCATTTTTGGATTGTTAAAAGCAGCTAAGCTGAGAAGCTAAGCTACGAG